TGTTGTAACCATTCAAATCCGGTACCGACGACGACGACAAGTTTCGGAAAATACAGGATAAACAAGCGATTTGACCAGAAAGCTCTTTAATATGAAAGACCTGGGACCGCGTTTTTCTGCTCAGTAAGCAAGCCACTGTAACCAACAATCTTTCAAATCCGAAAACTAAATGCTACGAAAAAGTACCTAGGCCTTCATTAAGTTACACTTTCACGCGATGCTCAATGTTTCGATTTGCTCTTCACGCATTGTTCAGGCTATCATAACAAGCTACGACTGACATGACGATTGTTTAAGCCCTAGTTAAACAAGCTATTCAAATGCAGTTACGTTTTCGAAAGCAGTATCGAAAAGGAAAAAAATATGCACAACCACATAAAAATCTCCATCGAACTCTTTCAATCTCAAAACATTTGGAAGCATCAAATTTATACATTTGACAGGCAACTTTCCACCGAGTTCATTAATAAATATCAGCAACAACCACACTAAAGTAGAAAAGCGCTTAGCAATTTACCTAGTGAAACTTATAGAAAAGTATTCCTTCTTTCAATAATTTTTAATTTTAAATTTAAATTTGATTTAAATTAACTTTACAATTCAACAGGCATTGTGACTACTTCTCCAAGTCTTGTCACTATTAACAAGTAACAAGGACTAAAATATGGTAAAAAAACAAGGACTAAAATATGAAAAAGTAACAAGGACTAAAATATGGTCCTTTGATTACCGAAAAATCCTGCTCCACTAGTTTGAAGTTGTCAGAACTAGGGTTCGGAGGTAGATCTTATACTAGTAACGCACCACAAAAAGGTGATCTATCAGCGTTACTGGTTTTTATTCGACTAGAACATCCTTCGTTGTCTAAAGTAAGCATGATTTCCTGCCATAATGCGTCTTTGAATTTCCCTGCTGGTGTCATTATCGCCGGTCACCAGTGAGTCTAGATACACTAGTTCAGCGGAAACGGTAGCCGCAGTAACGTCCGAAGAGCGATGTATATATGTACTGAAAGAAATCCGCACCCGTGGGAATTGTGGTTATTTGGATCTAAAGTGATTTACTATCATGTTCGGAAGGTGCAGCGCAAAAAAAAACGATCCGTTATCGTGCCAATGATTTGAAATTTGTATGGGAATCATTATGCAAGAATTTCAAAAATCTACGGGAATTACAATTTAGAAATGTGCTAATTAGCCCTCCAATTTCCGGCAAGCGCTTCCAATAATTTTATATTACGTACACGAAAAATTCAGCATATTTGTAGTTCTGTGTTAAAATTTCAGCTCAATTGATCATAACAAAACATAGGCATGTTGCAAGCCAAAGTTGGCTAGTTTGTATGAAAATCGGCCTATTGTACTAATTTAAAGGCCACCACTGTAAATTCGGTAAAAAAATCGACAAAATAGGGTAAAATGGCAGATGAATTTAACTTAATCTAATAAATTTAATCACAACAACAACAGGCTTGTTGATCATTGTCATGACAACCACATTTTTTTTTTCAACGTTTGGACAACTACAATTGTTGGAGCAATGTAAGTGAAAATCAATAATTTCCTATACTAATTCACTGAAATATCCATACAAATTTCAAATCTATTTTGAGGTTTTGAATCGAATCAGAAATTCATCACTTTTTTTTCAAAAGGAACCACCCTAGTGGATAGTCAAAAGGATATCAAATCAACAACTTTCGTACTGGTAGAGGGACGATGCCTCTAGATCAGTGTCTGTTTTTATCATTTCAAGACCAACAATTGAAATGGCCTTAACTCCATGTTGTAAACAAACTTTGTAAGGCCATTTTCTCGCGATCCGTAGTCCGCAAAGGCAAACCAACATAATGAACAGGTAGGGGAAATTCTCCTCTACCCGATTGTGGTTTAGGTTTGCGAATGAAGGTTTCGGTTCGCGAGAAAATGGCCTTACAAGGTTTGTTTACAAAATGGAGTTAAGGCCATTTCAATTGTTGGTCTTGATTTAACATCACACGCAAGGAGTAGCGCTTCAACCCAGTGTAGATGAATTGGGTTCGTTTTGAATGTCTTCACTGTGAAGTACGAGCGAAACGAACAAATGAGTACATTATATGTACATCAACGAATACGCGTTTGTTGATATTCACCACTGCTTGATTATCCAACCCAAAATTGTCAAAATCAGAAGCGATCCTCAAAAGCAAACTAATCAAATTCATTTTGGGCAAAATGATTATTTTGAATATTGTCGACTCCAGAGCCCAAAAATCCGTCTGTTTAGAAAAACCAAAACAACACGTTCTACAGATACATATGTGTGTAGTATGAAAACAATCATTTTGCATTTGATCCTCAAAATCCCCACCAAGATGAAGATGAATATTGATATTGACAACAACATAGGCGATTTAAACATCCAACAACGAATGAACAAAAACAAATGTTGACATTGATACTCAGAGGTTGCCTTGATCAAGAGAATTTGTTTATGTCAAAATTCAAATTCATGTAGGTAGTTGTCTGTTAAGGTTGTCTTCATTTTCAGCTAAGTAGAGTGTAGAAGGAATGATTTTTATCAGCACTGCTCTGGATACAAGCCTGGAAGATGCTTCCGAAAGTGAGCAAGCGACGATGCAGCTACAGCTTGAAGAACTGGTTGCTTCCGAAGATTGGTTATTGAACATACTGATAAGGGTGTCATGCCAAGCGGGCGGAGCTCGAAGTGTTGAATGTGAACAACACGTAGGACTTAAGTGAACTTCAGGACGACGAGCGCTGGGATGCAAATGGGATTATAAGGTAATCAAGATCAACTCCGAATGGACCGTGGACCATTAGAGAACGCACGTCTCGTGATTATGTGGTTTTCGCAGCAAGAACGATGGATATTACGATCTAAATGTTCATATGGATACAGTTCAGGGGCCACATTGCGCAGCTTGAAACGAAACGTTTTTTGTATGAACGTTTGTATGAAAATGTTTATCGTTCCGAGCTGCGCAATGTGACCCCACCTCACTCTCAACTGTTTGCAAAGAAAGATATCAGTAGCCGTTGTACCTTTTGACTTTTTGTACCAGTTCCTGGCAAAGTGCACACGCCCAAATATAGCCAATGAAGCTGATTTATCCCAAGCAATCTGAAGCTCAGCTTGGCTTCAGTGATGCAAACTGGGGTAAATAATGACCAAGAAATTAGGTGATCAATTACTGAACATGTATTCCAGTACGATAACGGATCAATTTCTTCATTCGACCTCCCCTTATGATTACGCCAATGAGCACAGTGATACACTATATGCCCTGGGAAGTCGTAAAAAGCAAATCAGAAAAGATCCTCGATCAGACCGGCGTAGTGGTTAGCATCCTTACCTCTCACACCAAAGTCACGAGTTCAAATCTCATCCCGGACAAGTCACGAATGACCCAAGAGCTTTAAAGGGACTATAAAAAAAGATCCCGCCGTTCCATGCTATTTGCTTTATAACCAGCCATTTATGTTGCTGGGCGTCTGCTGTGGAACGCCATGTTGCCGAATTGGTTGACAAATTGTTCAAACATGTCTTCCCCAACTCAACCCGTTCGGATTAAAGAAGTACATACATGCACAGAAAAAGTTGCCGAAGTGAAATCCAGCTAATTGAGTTTCTCACTTGCCCTTTTCTGATTGTGAACTCCTCGCGGTTTCTTACCAGAAACGAACAACCGGAACACGAAATCCACAGTCATCGTTGCCGACCTTAGCTAGCTGTTCATTGGTTGGTAACCACTCTCTCCCGCTCATCCCTAAATAACGTCGTCCGTGTTGTTAACTCAATCCAGAGGCAGCTGTACTGTGTGTGGTTGTGAATTCCGCTACCCTCCGCTCCTATCCACTCCTTTTCCGCTTCTCTGTGGCGTCTGTATGTTTGGATTAACTCTCACCAGGTCATACAATGGAACGTGCCATTTCGAGTTGACAATTGTCGTGATTTGAATTTCAATTAACCGATGTGTTTGATTGGATATCTGTTCAAGACGAAATTAAATTTTAACGACCATTGGGCCCTTGCCCTGATGATACAAAACACCAACTGGAAATGTTCGCATGTTTTTCATCACCTTAAACTCAGTTTACTTTCATTCAATAAAGCAAATTGGAGCCTGATTCAATTATACCTTTGGAAGCGATAAAAAGTTTGATGATGCCCAACATACAGTGTATCTTAAAATTGAGCGTACACCTGAATGGACCATTTTTCGAAACTCTTTGAATTTGGTAGATTGATAGATTGGTGGTGGTTGAACAACTATCTATTTATTTATTGGAATAATCTTGGAACTTATTGGCAGAGCCGGTAGGAAGTTTGAGCAATTTTAGTAAAACGCTCGATTTAAAACTTGTTTTTCGTTAGTGGACGGATTTTAGTAAAAATTAGGGGCGCAAGGAAGATCTTTATTATCACTACAAATTAGTATAATTTATAAAAGTTTGGTCCATTGTACTTCAAGGCATAGTGTTTTTTTTAGAAAGAGGTGTCTTTCTACAATAGCTCCAACTTCCTACATACTCAACCAAATAAGCCCAACATTATACCGTAGCTGAAAATTCAAAAACCTATCTTATTAAATTTTGCTCGAACAGCTGTTTTTTCTAACATTTAGGGACAGCGGTACGTTAAATTTTGTGATACACTGTATACACACACACACTCACATTCCGAATGGCGGAAAATGTCGTTTCCACAAGATTCACTTAATTAAAAGTTTATGTCCCTCATCCCGGAGAACGTCTATTCCGATCACAATGCACGGTTTCGGATTACGAGCTGTTCCGTGTCCGTGCCGTTCCTCTCGGGAAGGAGTAAATTGAATTTTATCAAGCTGTTTTCTTCCGTTTATGTTCCGTTTTTATACGATTTCTTCCGAAAGGCGTTTGCAAAAATGGGAGAATCGATTTTCACACCCTACCCCCCCACCACCCACATAGAAAGCAACATATCGTTAAAATGTTCCATCTTTCCTTTTTCTTCCCCAGCTACAAACAGCAACTGGTGAAGAGCAAGAGCCAGTCGGAGCTTGCCACCTTCGTTCCGGCGTCGGCCATCATCTATCACAACACGGCGAAACCATTCAGCGGTGGTGTCGGCCCGGTTGGCGTTGGCGTCGGCGGAAATGATCCTCTGAGTTACGGTGGTTCCAATGACCAAAGGAGTGGCGGTTTCCTGAGCCAATCGACGACCGGAGGAGGAGGAGATCTGCAGCAGTATCAGCAACCACAACAACAACAACAACAACAGCAGCAGCACTACTCGGTGCCACCTGGTTTCATCGGATTGAGACGCTGCCTAACCGAGGAGATGCGCCCGGATCAGGAATCGATGGTTAAGAGCGTCTCGATCGCCGAACGGCTGGCGGCCCTGCAGAAGAGCGGCGAAGATGACTGGCGGAAGCGAGTTGCCAAGAAGGATGTCACCGACGATGTCCGGCGGGAGAATTTAGTCAATGTGAGTACTCTATTGGTTAGATTTAGGTCAGGGGTGATACAACAGATGACGTAACTGATGTGACAACCCATTCGGGGTTGGTTCCCAGTCACGGATGAATTGTTCATAAATCATCGTAGAACGATCATGAGCGAACCGATTCGCATAGCATCAGATGATAAATTGAACGCCAATTGACCATGCTCTCGGTGGAGCAAACCCAGAGCGGGAATATTTCCCAACCAACCGAGACGACGGTACGTTTGGGTAGAGTTGTGCGCCGATGAGTGGTTTTACAGGCAAACATATAGACAGTAGCTATTTGATATGAAATGTTGCCAAACTTCATAATACTTTGAATATAATTTGAATATGCATTTGAGCAGTCTAACGCCAAATGTCGAATCGGAAAAACTCGACCTTCTCCGATTTGTAAGAAACTTTGCGTAATGTTATGGGCAATGATTCATATATTTGCTAAAATTCGGCCATTTTGGATCTTTTAAAATTTTCAAAATAGCGTCTTTAAAATATTGTAGCACGGGAAGGCACTTATGATCGAAATGACGTCTGAGACAGAGTAAAGAAAAATATTTATTTTCCCGGTAAAAATATACAAGGAAAAATCAAAAACAATGTTTAAATTTTTTTTTTAAACGGTAGGTTTACGTTGTTGCGCTTCTCAGTCTCAATTTACACGGTACGTTTTTAACGATTTCTAGAAAACGATACAACATACCGAACTAATTCAAATCCTTTAGCAAACTCCCCAACCCGATTCGCACCTTCCTCAAAATTGACATTTGCTCGCTGTCTATTCTCTATACAATTTTCACTATGCCGTACTTTAACGGAACTATCAACTCTTTACTTTCATCTCCTCATATATCGTATAAAATTACCACTTTAAGCCTGATATTTGATGTTGAGCATCTCCAACTATTCATAACTAGCTTTACGTAATTTCTGTTTGTTTCAAACCTACACACTTAGAAAAATTAATGTAAATTTAGGTGCTCTGAGACTGACATATACGAGCGTCAATTTTGACACAAAATTGAGTCATAATAGAAGCGAAATTCAGCTCAATCAAACGTACTTTCGAACTTTTCAGTCTCGGAGCACTTAATTTTACATGACATGTTTGTTTACGTCTCATCCTTTAAGTCAAAGATGGATTCCGTCACGTGTAATATTAGGTATTTCTAAGTGTGTACGATTTAGTATGTTATGTAAAATTCTAGATATAGCTGGAATTAAGGCGAAACAGCTTTTGTAAACAATGACTTCTCTCGATGATTTTTTGGAATTCAAGGCACGTCCACGCAAATCAACATTAACTATCGGGTAGGGGAAGTCTTCCCATATCCGATGATGATGTTGATTTGCGTGGGTGAGCCTTAGGGGCTTATTACGGATGTCACTTTACGGTGAAAACTTGTCACTTGTCGTCACGGTGAAGAGATTCCCATTTGATTTGTACGGCAATCACGGCTCTTATTCTGAGTATCACTTCCTTATCACCGTGTAGTGACACCGGTAATAAGGCCCTTAACTTTCTAGAAATCATCGACAGAAGTCATTGTTTACAAAAGCTGTTACGCCCTAATCCTAGCTCTATCTAGAACTGCATGCGATCTGTGGTTATCTGGGTTGTAACTTCATCACTCTGAGTGGATACTCATCGATCATAAAATCGCTGATTGTTCCTCTCTGCAAGTGAAATTAACCGGTTTTACATTGTTATAAAGATTAAGCAGATTCTTTATTAATGTCAATATCAGAGATAAGGTATAATTTAAGCTATAGACAGGCATGGAAAATCATTTACATTCATTTCGTGCATTCATTTACATTCATTTGCCCCTAACTTTTTTCATCCACAGAATTACGCAAAATGATGTATAGAGATTTTGTATGTTTTGTTAGTAGCTACAACTTTTGTTAACAACTCAAATCCGTATCTCTTCTGCATGACGAACCAGAGCGAAAAGAAGCCACTACTGTTTTTCAGTGAATGTATTTTATATTCACTGTAGAACAGTAACAAGATCTGCCCGCTCTAATTCGTGATGCATAAGAGATACAGATTTGAGTTATTGGCAAAAGTTGTAGCTAATAACAAAACCTACTAAAGCTCTATACATCAATTTTCGGAATGCTGTTGATGAAAAAAGTTAGAGGCAAATGAATGTAAATGAATGCAGGAAATGAATGTAAATGATTTTCCATGCCTGGCTATAGAAAGTACTGAATTGAAAGTCTCGTTAGGGTTCGGCAGTGTGAAAATTTGGTATCGATGTTCAAAATGAGCAAAGAGAAATTTTCGATGGCGATATGAATCTTACTACACAGTTCGAAAAAGTAGTGTAAATTTCTGTTCAATATGATGCACATAAATGGAGCGTCACAAATCATAGATGTTTACATTCTAAATCGTGTAAAGTTGTGATGCAATTAATGAAAAGTTACAAATATTGTAATTGTAATTGTAATTGTAATTGTTCAGAATTAATGAAAAGTTACAAATATTGTATACAAAAGCCCATCTTTGTAAACAACATTGTATACAAGTAGGTCCTTTGCGTGAAATGAAATACAAGTTTACATGAAAGAATGTTTACATCACAATTAAAATTCAGACTTTTTTGCTGTGTAGCATTGCTTTTACTAAGCTACCGTTTGATCATAGCATCATGTGATAGGCCCAAAGTCTAGAGAAAATGGCACTTTTTACAAAAAAAAAAGGTGTTGTTTTGTATTTTTACGTTCCGCATAACAACCACTACCAAGCTGCTATCGGCTCACAGCTCTAATTTCACATCATGGTTAACCATATTACCAGCCAATACGTCTTTCTTATTCCGCTCATTTCCTCACCCCAATAGCAGGAAGTAGAGCTATTATGGGGAGCTATTCGTCTTCCAGAATCGAATCCCAAGAAGTAGAACAACAAGCCATTGCTAAATCGATTCGTTCCAATCGATGCTATTGCTGCTGCTTATGCTGCTGCTGGAATGCCTTTCATAGTGAAACCTGTTTGCAGAAAAGTGTTGCGATGCCCACCTGTGCAGGAGCTCGTAGGTGTTTCGTACACGTGATGTGCCCTCCTCATCTCGCGTTGTTTGCTCAAACTACGACTTGAGCTGAGCAAGAGGCTGTGAGCAAAATTCGTGGGCGTAAACGTGATTCTGTCAATTGTATTTATGTGCTACGGCGGCTGCCTCCGTAACCGTTTAATTGAACGTTTTCCCATATTGTGTCGGTTCGTCACGAGTGTCATTTTTCATTGGATGCTTGTCGACTCCCGCAATCCGTCAGCATCCTTCCAGCGTCGTAGTCGTTAGGGGCTGTTCATAAAGCACGTAGATGCTAATTAAAAAAAGTATTAACGATTGTCTACGTGTGGCGATGGGGGGAGGGGGGTTTGAAAACATCTCAAAAATGGTCTACGTAGTTTATGAACAGACCCCGTTCAGTAGATTCAGTAACCGACAGGCAATAATAATATATCTTTCAACATGTCAGAGAGAGAGAGAGGGTCTTCGACGACGACGATGGGTGCGCTTGGCTTGATCGATGCCGGTTTTGTTTGGTTCGACTTTTATGGAAATGGAGAGAAGATTTCTCGTCGTGATGATGGTTGTTTGCTGGGCGGACTTGTTGCTCGTACACGCGTTGGTTGCATACGTTGCGGCGTTTCCGGGGGGGCTGGTGCTTAATTGATTGAGGTGCTTCTGTTATTGGCAGTGTTGTGGCTTCAAATGTAATTTGGCTGGATTTTAGTTTTTGTGGTATGTTATTGAAATTCATGTAAACTGGAGTCTTCCGACTTTTCCATAAAGTTCAAAACCTGATTGTGTATCATGTTCTGAAAACCCGGTTTTGCATTTTCAACTTGTGCTAAATGATCATCTAAATGCAGAAGTGAACCTGCCGAACCTGTTTGCTACCCCCCAAGGCCAAACTGTGCGCGTTGAGAAATCCAACAGATAAGAACGATCAATCCCCTGGGGTACCTTGCTGCATGTACACACACACACACACACACTACCTGTTCCCAAAGAGTCACAGTCCAGAAAACAGGTTTACTCGCCAAAACTGGCAATAATAGGTGGCTCGACGTCCCCTTCCGGGTCGGGAAGGGCAACAAACCTAGCGAAGAAATACCATAAAATGTTGCTTACCCAAAACATTTGCGTACAAGACGCTAGTACTGACTGGCATCCTACCCGGAGGACAATACAAAGTCAACGGGCTGAAAAAAGGAAGCAAGAAAAGATAAACATTGCACACACATATCTGAACACCGAACTATCTTGTTTTGGTGGGGCTGTTCATAAACCACGTTGACACTTTAAGGGGGAGGGGGAGGGGTGTTTTACGAATGTCTTCTGTCTTTGTATGGACGATTGTCTACGCGGAGAGAGGGGGGTTCTAATATATCTCAAAAACGGTCTACGTAGTTTATGAACAGCCCCTATGAACAGTACATGGAGGATGGAGATGGACTCAACATCGTATAATCATTTCAGTTTTGTTTTTTTTTTACCCGGGAAGAGTCATAAACGAACCGTCTTCGGTTGGGAAGGGGGCTAAGGCAGCGGTATCAAAATAAACATTCGAACGTACGAAATTCAAAACTGGTTTTCAAGTGCTGTTTGTTATCGCGATTCCGTCTTTTGCTCTTGAAGATTAAATTTTCGCAAGTCGCGTTGTATTATTACTTAACCTTTTTGGGGCATCGTCGGATGATCGTTGGTTGATATGATTTTAATTGGGCTGCTACATTCCGAACCGGTATTCTTAATAAGAGCAGAGATATCGAAACAGGCATAAAATTGTTGTTATTTTAACTGAGGTTTTTATTTACTAACATATGGAAAACTATATCATTCGATGCAACAGTACTGTGCACTGTGGTGCAATAAACAAACAACAACATTGTTCCCTTATGAGCAGAGTGCATGTTTTCCATCACTAGCACCAACAGTACAAACATTTAAAGTGATCGAGTCCTT